TCAATGGTGTCCCTCTTTACCAATCTGAAAATCTGGTCACCTTATTTATAACCCTCCATCCATCCCCCACTCAAACCCAACCACCCCGCTCTCCACTGGAAGCTTCCCGAAGAAGCACGTCCGGCCACGAACCGGAAGCTGGCCGCTCTAGGCGGGCCTCTCGCGCGACTCGGCCTCTCTCTTCCCGAAGCCAGAAATTTCGCCAAAAGCCTGCGCCGGGTCGCCTGGTGACGTCAAAAGGCGTCGCTCGGCCCTTTCCCCCCCCCTCTCGGAGCGACGTTGAATGCCGACGCGTCCAACGGAGGGAAGAGGCGTGGCTTCTGCTGACACGCGGAGGAGGTGAGTGGTTCTCTTGCCCGGGTGTTGCATTCTCACGACCTTTCCCTCGTTTCCCGTTCTCTACTGCCCGGGAAGGGGGCATTAGGCGAGTTTTGCGGACCTCTAGGTGTCTCCACCCAGCGGTCTGCTTTCCAGAGGTCTCAGCCTTCTCTCTGCTCCTTTAAGGGGATCATTGGTGGGGATTGCCAGGCCCGCCTGGCCGTTATTTATTTTGTTGACTGATAGATTGACTGACGTTGATTGATTGATTGATTGGGGTCAATGACCTGCCAGATGAACTCATAAAAATGAGGAATAAAAGGCAACCCTTTAGGATCAGGATCGACAGGGAGAAATGGGTGCGATTATATATGGGCAATTTAAAAATAAATAAAGAAAATAGGGTATCTTCTGAACGCCCTTATTAAGATCAGATAACCTCTGCTGTCACTCTTTTTGTGAATACACTGGCTCACATTAAAAAATGAAATTCTTAAAAAAATGTTAAACCAGAAAAAAATGAAATTCTGATGCTGATGTTTGTGTGTCTGTATACACATATACATATACCCAGACTTATATTTGTGTGTATGAATGTGGGTATATAGACAGACAATTAGTATAGTATAGTCTCTATTGTCATTGTACAAAATAAATACAACGAAATTGTATTTCGAAATGACAAGATAGATAGATGATAGATAGATGATAGATAGATAGATAGATAGATAGATAGATAGATGATAGATAGATAGATAGATAGATAGATAAAGATAGACAGACAAACACACCCACACACAGACAGACAGATAGATATACATATATAAATATACATATGTACACATAGATGTATATAGTAGCACAGACATAGATAGACAGACATACACATAGATATATATAATAGCAGATAGATAGATAGATAGATAGATAGATAGATAGATAGATAGATAGATAGATAGATAGATAGATAGATAGATAGATATGCATATACATATATACATATATATAGTATCACAGTTCATTTTGAATACATAGTGGAAAAAAGATTATCGAGACTTAATAAGATTGATACTATATGGTACAAAGCTGTTAGAGGAATCTAGTTGTTATATAAATCTATAATATAATGAAACTTACCTTCATTCATAATAAAACTGTACAGTAAAATATAGGTGCCTTCTACAGATGATAAAATCACCCTTATTTCTAACCGACTGTAAGAATCCATCCTGATATGGTTCACTGGAGCCAGTCAGCCAAATATATCGGAATCGGCCTCATAGAATCAACTTCCATTCGGAGCAGAGGAGCTGGTGTTTTATTTTATTTTTTCAAAACAGGCCCTTTTTAATTTTAGTGGCAATAAGTGTTTATTATTGCAGAGATCATGGAGATTATTGCCAATCGGATATGTCTCTCAGTTACACCCAAGTTCAGATCATTTGTTTGAAAAAGCTAAGTCAAATAATGCTCTTCTAGAACCTTCAGCTGCCAGCAGAAGCCTAGATGATGCATTTTTAATAAATTTCCCACCAAATATTTTAAATATTTTGTTAGGGATAACTGTGGATTTTAATATTGCACATTAATACATAATTGCAGTGGTTTCTTATTGTTGAGATTCAGTGTTCTCTGTACTCTCTTGGTATAGTTCTTCTACTTAAACTTTTGTTTATCATTCATGTAGTTAAACAGTGCCTGGAAGGTATATAATCTATATATATATATATAAAAGCCAAATGCCACTCAATCATCACGAAATCTCCAGAACTGTAAATCCTAGAAATTTGAAATTTGCCATGTAGGTTCCTGTTGGCTTCTAGGTACTCGCTAAGAAAGGATTTTTCGAAATGACCATCAGGTCATTAGTATTTCTTGTACAGTATTATATTAACACACTTTGATGCTAAGGAGTTAGACATTCTACTCCCCCTCCCCACTGAAAAGAACTCCATTCCAACTGCCAGTTGCCTTATATCAAGCCCTATTGCAACTACTCATTAATTTTCAAGCTTTGTGTCAATTTATCAAGCCTGATCACATAGTTTCATAGCAGAGCATGGGTATCCAGCTAGTTACAGTATATAATTATAGTATATACAGTATATAATTACAGGGGGGGAAACCCATATTGTTATTTCCATACTGTGTACTATGTTCTCATACGTATTTTTGCCTAAGTAGAACAATTTCACATTGAATAACATCTGGGAGAGAACATTGATGTCTTAATATTTATGGAAAAATTATGATTTTTTCCCCCCTAGATGAAAACAAAGACCAGCCCATTAAGGAACATGACTCTTTAAGACAATTGGAAGAATTATGGACTTGTGGAAAGCCCAGGAAATAAAGAGAATGCATGAGAGGATAAAAGAAACAAGAATATATGGATTAGAGACTTCAGTTGCTATGTGGCTGGCAGTTGTTCTTCGTGGCTGTTTTGCACAAAACCAACAACACAAATTAAAACATTGGGAAAGCAACCTCAGGAGCCAGACGACAATTCCAAAGTGCCATTACGTGTTCTGATGGTTATAGAGACCTCCGCTTCCGTTAATCCTATCCATTCCATGCTCATCTTTACTGAGTGAAGCTAGCTATCCAGTCCTAACAGACTGAATTAGCAGATATATATATAAAAAAAGACATTGGCTTCCATGCTCCCTTTATATCTTATACCAGCCTTCTGATTATATCCAAAACAGTCTGTTCTATGTGACCTTTGATATTTGACACTTCGGTCATATTACTAAGCCTTTTCATTTTTAAAATTCATCCAGAACTTAAAAACTGTTTGCTGAGTTGGAAATGGCACAATCAGGGATTAAAAGTGCTGCATCGTTGGCAGTTACTGAGGTAGGTTTTTTTTGGGGGGGGGGGCGGGGTGGAGTTGTACCTCCTAGTTCTCTCTGTTAACAATCGGAAAGTAACTGGAAAAGTTTTTAAGAAGGGATTGTGCAACAATTTGTCTGAAATGGTATGGGGTTTCCTGCCTGAGCAGGGGATTGAACTAGAAGTTAAATCCTTCCAACTCTGTTATTCTATTCTATTCATTCCATATGTATTGTTGGTACTTCTTAAAGTTGAATTTTATATATATAAACCAAACCCTCCTGGAGGAATTCCAGGACTTGACTGATGGAGATCGAGTAGGGGTCATGTCTGTGCCAGAGCACCATCAGCAAAAGGCTGACCAGGTAGCGATGTATATCCTGTCAGTGGATGGCCTCCTGGAAGCCAGAATTGTATGTGTAAAACCCTGGAGGAGAAGTTGTCCAGACTCAGGACTCCCCACTCAAATGCCAGGCGGTCAATATATATATATAGCATTTTTGCTGATAAATGAAGGGATACTAGTATAGATCTATTTCAAGCTATTTAGCTCTCATCAGGGATTCGAACCTGGGCTGTTTTTACATATTAGGCAGTTATATTAACCTCCAAACCACAAGCTCTCCTCCCTTATCAGCTGAGCCAAGGAAATGATTAAGTGTTATGTCAAAGCATCTGGTCTGTCCAAATACGGGAGGAAGCATACTGCTTCCCTTTTGCCTTTCAGCTCCAATCTAAGAGTCTTCCAGACAGAAAACCCATTTTTGTGTTGCATTTTTGCTGGTAAATAAATGGAGACTAGATCTATTTCAAGCTATTTAGCTCTCATCAGATAGCCATACCCTCACTGGGATTCGAACCTGGGCTGTTTTTACATATTAGGCAGTTGTATTAGCCTCTAAGCCACAAGCTCTCCTCCCTTATCAGCTGAGCCAAGGAAATGATTGTTATGTCAAAGCACCTGGTATGCCCAAATATGGGAGGGAGCATACTGATTCCCTATATGTGTACACACACACACAAACACACACGTCAATTGCCTAGTTAGGAACGCCTTTCATGTCTCTTGTTAAGTTATCTATCAGAGCAGTACCCCTTTATCTACTTGCAGTCACCTGCTTTTGAACTGCTGAGTCACTAGGAGCTGGAGCAGCTCGCCGGAGCTCATCCATGGCACAGCAACAGCCAGGTTTCAAACGCGAACCTGCCAATCGTCAGCCCGGTGTCCTAACCGCATGAATCACCATGCTGCCAAATCACATGGCTGTTCTGTTTGGAATCCTGGGAGGTGATCAAGTGTATTTGGAGGCTTTGGTTGAGAAGAGGAAATAAGCTACGCTAGTTGTTCTTGAAGGCGAAGTTGCAATCCAGACTGATAAATGTATTCTCCTGTCTTAGCCGGACCCCAGCAGAGAGGAGGAGGAGGAGGAG